AGTCCCATTTTGAGCTGGTTGACAATAATGTGAGATTTGTGAGCAAATGGTGACCTTGTTTTGAGATATTTAGGTAGCCTTTTACAAACTTGACATTAGAAGACATACAGATCATAAATTTTTGAAAAATATTTTGCAATTAAAAACTTGATTTGTGTCATGAGTAAATGGTTTGTTTCCTCTGGCTTATAAACAGGTTTCAGGCTATTTAGCACAGGTCTCAGGTATCTCTGAGGTGTTAGCAAGAGACCAGATGAAAGTTGCTTTCTTTGGGCGTACAAGTAATGGAAAGAGTACTGCAGTGAATGCTATGCTACAAGACAAGATCTTACCAATGGGCATTGGTCATACAACAAACTGTTTTCTGAGTGTTCATGGCTCTGATTTACCAGACCCTTATATTTTAATTCCAGAGAGTAATGAGAAAAAGAATGTCAAGGTTTGGCTTCATTTTACTTTGCTATATAATATATTTAATATGTAACTCTTCATGGTATACTATGACATAGGTTAATCAGCACATGTGACATTTAAATGGCTTGGTATACAAGTGTTTGAAATTTACTTGCAACTGCAGACTTACAGTAAGACTAAATGAGATTGATACATACAGGCACAGTGGTTGGCAAGTGGTAAAGCCCCTTGTTCACCCAGCAAAGTTAATAGAAATCAAATGCAAACAGTATAATAGTGTAATCACAATCCAGTCCCTAGTCTATTAAACTTAAAATGTAGAACACTGATTAGTTGAAAGAAATACTACTGGTTTTGTTTGATACATAAAATCCTTATCTCTGCTATGATGCAATAGCAAAACTGTGCACACTCTCAGTGGGCCTTCTGTCAATTGATAGTAACTGTCTCTGCAGTAGACAATCAGATTGTAGATTTGCCAATAGTCAGCAACTGGGACATGAGTATTACTACTAGGCTAAGTCGGTGACTGACTATATACAACTGCATTATCACCATATGAAAGATGCAGACGTCTTGATTGAATTACAAAATAATGCAGCATAGGAGTGTGTACAGCCTCTCTTTTTACGTTCTTGAAAAGTAGCTTTTTGAGTAAGTTAAGCATCAGTAAATCTTAACTTACAAAATTAAAGAGAACTTTCTACACCTGTCTAAAGGTTTTAATGGCCAATATAGTACTTATAATATAGCAACATGTAATTTTCAGTATTAACCCTGCTTCTGTTATCAAAACAGTCTTTATCTCAACTTGCTCATGCTCTGTGTGATGAAAAGCTTGACCACAGCAGTCTTGTTCAAGTCTTCTGGCCAAAATCAAGGTTTGTTTGTTAGTTATAATTAAAAATAATTATTATTTACTGATCTATCTATATGGACAGTCAAGTAAGGTAAACAGTTATCATATAAATAATTATAATGATATAATTATTTTATAATTTCCAATTTTTCAGATGCAAAATGCTGTCTGAAGATGTTGTTCTGGTTGACAGGTAAGAAGCAAAGAGATTAACCTGAAAATTGCAGTGTTCCATCACTGTCTAAGTCAAAGATCCCATATTTGCTACATGAGCTAACCATTTACAAGTACATTAGTATATGTATACCAGTTATATGTGTAACTTAAAGAGTGTGATACAAACCTGTGCCTAAATTCCCTAGAATGAAAAAGAGGAACATGTCAAATTTTCATCATTATTATCAGTTTTAAAATTTTGAATTTACCATATGGACAAGTAGATCTCAAGTGGAAATGCCATTGCTTTACAGACTTTTGCTACAATGAACTTGTATCTTTAACCACCTGGTGTAAATAACAAAAATAATGTTAAGTCAGTACTTTATGTGTGATTTTCTTTTTATTATTAACAATTATAGTCCTGGTATTGATGTCAGTCCAGATCTTGATTTGTGGATTGACAAACATTGCTTAGATGCTGATGTGTTTGTATTGGTTGCTAATGCCGAGTCTACACTCATGGTCACGGTATGTAAATTGTGTTTATTTACACTACATGTAGGTAAATAACATACAGTAGTGAGAAATGAAGTATTAACCAGGCTATAGCTCTATACATGTAAGAGTACTTCCAAAGAGGTTTTGTATGGTGTATTCTAGAATTATGGTAATAATAGTTGTCTTGATCATTTGTTGAAGTATACTGTATGCACTGAATGAATTATATTGCATTCATCTTTAGGCATCACTTAGACCTTCATCTCTTTCTTTCCTACAGGAGAAGAATTTCTTCCACAAAGTCAACCAACGTCTTTCACGACCAAACATCTTCATCCTGAACAACAGATGGGATGCGTCTGCCTCAGAACCTGACACAATGGAGCTAGTAAGTAATTTCTGAAAAGAACTGATGCTAGTGTAAGGTTATGATTTTGTCACCAAAACTGGTAAACCCTGATCATTAAAACAGGTTTGGTCTACATATGGGAATTACAGTGTCAATGTTTAACTGTGGTTCCACAAAAGTATGATGTGCGGGTGTATCACAGAATACTTCCCAACATTTTTTCAGGTTGCCTCAATAGTACACATTTACTGTGACAAAACCGGTTTTAACCCAGGACCCATTGGAGTCAGGGGAAACTGGTGTTTTAGTCACTGCTAATCCAATCCTTGAACCATGACATGAACTGCAGTGAATGTTTCCCTTTTTCCTCTACACTCAGGTCAAAAATCAGCACCTGAGTAGGAACATCAGCTTCCTTGCTGATGAGCTTAAGTGTGTGGACAGAGCTCAAGCCGAGGACAGAGTGTTTTTCGTGTCTGCCAAAGAAGTAAGTCACAGTACTGTGTGGTAGGTTGTGTGGAACTTACAGCAATTATCCACACATTGTACTGACGTCAGGAAAGATCACTGGAAATTTTGAGGCATTGTGTTTTGGGAAGCCAAAGAATGGAGCTAAACTGGGTTATTTAGAGGATCAGTGGAGGGGGAGAGGGGAGGCTCATGCCATTAAAAGGATATGAATGTTTCTTGATTAAAGATTATGTTAAAAAATGCCAGCACCTACATGTATGGCTTATGAGAGTCATACTTGAATGAAATGGACTCTGTACGGGTTCCACAAATCTTTGTGATATATACCAGTGAAGAGGTCAATTAAAGATGGTGGATATTTTATAATTATAATTATAATTATAATTATAATTATAATTATAAATATAAATATAATTATAATAAAAAATATAATGACAAGAATGCAGAAACACCAGGGAATGCCTCAAGGAGGTATATGAACTCATTTCTTGTTATTCAATATACCTTTCCTTCCAACTGTTTAATTTCCAGGCAAAGTAATTTGTTGTCACGGTGTTTAAAAGCTTATTATTCTGAGCAGAAACAAACCAACCAACAAACAATGAAACAAAGAACACAGCATTAGTTTTTATCATATCTTTTTTTTTTTTTTACATAGGCTTAAATAAGTAAATACTATTATTTACATTGCAGTTCTTAATTTGTAGGTGGTGCCATTCATGTTGAAGGATTCCCTGCTCGTCAGTTGGAGTTTGAGAACTTTGAACGTAAATTTGAGGTAAAGATGATGTGGACAATTAATTTGTCGCTAAATCTTTCCACAAGAAGAAATTGTTGGCTGAAGCATTTGATCAGAGATAAATGTGTTAATATTTGCTATTGCATGTACAACTGTAAAGTAATGTGTTCATGTTCACAGGAGTGTATTTCTAAGTCAGCCATCCAGACCAAGTTTGAATCTCATGCAGTCAGTGGGATGAAAATCACTAACATGGTGAAAGTCCTTATGGAGCAGATTGTTGGCTGTGCCTTTCAGCAAAGGTTAGTTAGAGTGTCTGTAGTAGAGAGGTGTCCGTCTTGGAGAGGTAACTATGATGACGTCACTTTGAAGTCTCCACTGACAGTTTAGAGTGTTTAGACCCAGAAGTGAGTGTCGTGTGAATTTCTGAATCTAAATTGATCGCTGAATGATAATGGTACATACCGCAAATTGTCGACACCTGGTCCCTGAAGTGTTCGTAATAAAGAGGTTAAATTTGTATGGTTTTACTCCCTAGCGCTGAGATGTAGTGTATGTTGTCCGTTTTAGGGAGGGTCTGTATTATAGAGGGTTTTTTTAGAGGAAATGTATGAAAATTTTGTCGGTACATAGAAAATTGTCCATATTAGAGAGGTGTCTGTATGGAGAGGTTTGAATTTAAGTCTTTTTGTTACCCACAGTGTCAGGTGTGAAATTTCATCTCTCAAGCTACCATCATTATTGAATTTTTTTCTTCTTTTGCAGAACAAAACTGGAGAAGGCTAAGAAAGAACAGGAAAACCGACTGGAGTATGTGAAGGAACAACTGGAGATCTGCAGTCATGATTCCAAGAGACAGATCAAGGAAATTACAGCTAAAGTGGAAGCACAGGTAAAGAATTTTGCAACAGATCACTTCACTTTTAGATCAGTTATTTATAGAGCTTACTCGATAATTGATGGAAAAAAATGATCCAAAGAACAGTCAGACCAGTTCTAAGAATTCAACGCTTTCACTTCACAAGAGAGTTCAAGGCAGGATGACTGGAACCTCATGTCATCTCCCCTTAGGGTCAGCATTTCCATTCAACTTAAGGTAGAAATAATAGCATCTAGATTTTTGTGCATTCTTGTAGACATTGTTTCATGTTGATAGAGCCCAGATGCCATTTACCCCACATTTGTTGCTGGGTGTGACCTTCAGCAAGCTGTCCATGAAAGACTAAATTTACAACGTTGATATAAATTTATCAATTTTTTCAGTACAAACTTGGGTGTAAACTTCTGTGGGACGCTGGGTCGATAGTATGTTATTTATAATAATTATAAAGTATGTTTTTTTGTCTCCAGGTAACTGAAGCCATGACAGAAGAGATTGGTCGATTGGGATTACTAGTGAATGAATTTGATCATCCTTTTCACCCNAAATATGAGCGAAATCAAATTTTCGACCCTTGCCGAGTTATTTTCCATTTTTATGGACAGGGACTCTTAAGTAACTAAAATCAGCCCCAAAAGTGAGTGTCTTGTGAATTTCTGAATCTAAATTGATCGCTGAATGATATTTTTTCTTTTGCAGAACGAAACTGGAGAAGGCTAAGAAAGAACAGGAAAACCGACTGGAGTGTGTGAAGGAACAACTGGAGATCTGCAGTCATGATTCTAAGAAACAGATCAAGGAAATCACAGCTAAAGTGGAAGCACAGGTAAAGAATTTTGTAACAGATCGCTTCACTTTTAGATCAGTTATTTATAGAGCTTACTCAATAATTGATGATGAAAAAATAATCCAAAGAACAGTCAAACCAGAAGTATTCAACGCTTTCACTTCACAAGAGAGTTCAAGGTGGGATGACTGGAACCTCACGTCATCTCCCCTTATGGCCAACATTTCCTTTCAACTTAAGGTAGAAATAACTGATAGCATCTAGATTTTTGTGCATTCTTGTAGACATCGTTTTATGTTGATAGGACCCAGATGCCATTTACCCAACATTCGTCGCTGGGCATGACCTTCAGCAGGCTGTCCATAAAAGACTAAATTTACAATGTCGATATAATTTTATCAATTTTTTTTTGGTACAAACGTGGGTGTTCTGTGGGACACTGGGTCAGAAGTATGTTATTTATAATAATTATAAAGTATGTTTTTTTGTCTCCAGGTAACTGAAGCCATGACAGAAGAGATTGGTCGATTGGGATTACTAGTGAATGAATTTGATCATCCTTTTCACCCTCATCCTGGTTTCCTTAGAACATACAAAAAGGTGACAACTACACAGAATGGTACAGCTACACTGTATTATTATCTGCAAGTGTTAAATGCATGATTGTTGCTTAACAGAAGTTGTACACTCACCTGGAGAGAAGCCTGGGAAGGAATATGACAGCTCGTTGCTCTAATTCTCAAACTCAAGTCATTTGTGATGCACAGAGAGACATGGCAGGTNTGCTTTACAGGAGCTTTACAGTCACCTGGAGAGAGGTCTGGGAAGGAATATGACAGCTCGTTGCTCTAATTCTCAAACTCAAGTCATTTGTGATGCACAGAGGGACATGGCAGGTCAGTTGTTTGCAAATCATTGAGGTTCTAGTATTATTATGTGACTAACCATCAGATCTTTCCTTCTAATTGTAAAGTTACATCAAATTTCAGATCGTCTCCGTGGTCTTCTCCCACCAGAATCACCTGAGGTATCACTTGAACCAGGAACCCCAGCGTGAGTATAATGCACAGTAAACTTTTCAATTTGGTAATGTGTGAAATATTCTAAGGTGGGAGGAAGAAAAGGGGGGAGGGGTGGGTGATAAGGGTATGGAGAGAAAAGGAACAAGAGAGAGATGAGATAGAGAGGAAGGGGTCATTTGTAGCTGTAGTCTGACATGATTGTATTATCATTCCACTCATTTTCTTGTGTTTTTAATTCATTTTAGTCTTGATTTCCAAGCAAGCTACAAATTGGATGTCCCAAGTTTGTGCACTGACTTCCAGGAAGACATAGAGTTTCATTTCACACTGGGCTGGCAGGCGATTTTAAGGAAGTTTTTGGCACCTCATAATGCTGGTCTGGCCATTGCTTTGGGAGCTAATGTAAGATTAGAACACACACATTTAAACAGAATGGTCATAAAAAGTGTGCTTCGTTATATTTGATGTTAGGCAAACGGTTTGTTATTTATTACATTTTTACAATAACTTATTGCTCAAAAAAGTACCCTTAATGACAACTGACTTAACTTAAAAGTCTTTTTAAATTACGTTGAGAAAATGGATTGTTGTATTTCCAGGTCCAGTGAAGTGCAGAAAGTTAGTTTTGTTGTTGTTTACTGAAAGTCACGCATACTGTGACACTGTTGTTTAAACACGATCTAAAGAAATGTATAAAGGACTACAAAGTTTAAGTTTCATTCTGGTACATGTATCAGAACCAAATCTTAAGCGTAGATACTTATGCCGCTGCTCTTATTATTTTCAGATTCAGAGAAACGTCCAGAGTCTAGTGCCAACTGCCCAGCACAATGCTCAATCGTATTCTACAGAGGGAAGGCCCAGGGCGAGTACCCAAACCAGTTCGTCACGTGACGTTATGACACGTTATGAGGGTGATGACGTCACTTTAGCCGTCATACAAGGGCTTGCTTCACTGACGTCACGCACGGGTACACTGGTGGTCATAGTCGGTGGCTTGGTGAGGGTTTAGTTGCATTTGTCCAATATGTGAACCAACTTAAAATTACAATTAAATTAGTTTTATCATGGTCTAAAATGTGTGGATGGTTTTTGTTAACAGATCTGGAAGACCGTGGGCTGGAAGTTTATCGCCCTGTGTGGCGGTCTGTACAGTGGTGTGTATGTGATCGAGAGACTGCGCTGGACCAACAATGCTAAAGAGAAAACCTTCAAGCGTCAGTTTGTGGAATATGCCACTGAAAAGCTTCAGTTGGTGGTCAGCTTTACAAGTGCCAACTGCAGTATACAAGTACAACAGTGAGTTGAAGTGACAGATTATTTATAAATCAGCGTTAAATTGACTCTTGAAATAAATGTAATGCGTCTTTGGTTTCATTTACCATGCCTTGTGATTGGTTCATAAAAGATCGTGCCATAAGTTCAGAGCAAAAGTGTTGTTTGTCGACCGAGAGTTATTCACACAGTCAGCTGGTGCATATGCGCATTAGATACCATTTCATAGTTAATTTGCATATCACAGAGACGCGATCCACACTATTATTAACCAAGTATGATAATAATTATATCATAGGATGAGCAAAAGCACACTCAAAAAGCAGGTTTTTCAGTAAACGATTGAAAATCAAGCAAAACACTGCGGAGATTGAAGCGGTTCTAGATGTACTTTGATTTCAGGTTGAGGTGAACTTTTTTCAAAGTGAGAAAACTAGTGTCCAGGTCAGCGCAGCCCTGAAGCTGACTGTGTCCCTTTAATGTTAGTACGTTTAGACAAGTTTACTTTACTGCTGAGTAGTTTCTCTATAACTCTTGCAAGGAGACAAATATTCGTTGAATGTCGCCAATTTTCTTATGTTCAAAAACTTTTGGATCAACCTTTTTTCAGTAGAAACACTGTTTACTTAACATGCTTAGTTTTAATCCGTGTCCTCCGTGTGGGTTTCGCTTGATGTGCCTTGATCCAGTGTTGTTAATTTCTTGTTTGTTTACCGAAGTCTCTAAACGTTACTCTCGTTAATCTTGTTTATGCAGCGTTATTTCTGTTGTAGATGACAAACTGATGATTGTGTTAATTTAATGTCAGAGAATTAACGTCGACCTTCGTGAAGCTTAAGTCGCTGGTACAGAGAGCAAAAGAGACTCTTGAAGAAAATATCATTGAACTGTACAAAGAAATCACTAGACTTGAAAAGATCGAAAACGATGCCAAAATATTAAGGTAAGGCAATGGTTTAACTTTTAATCATAAGTATAATTAAGTTAGGAAGCCATGCGCGGTGGCCTCATGGTTAGTGCGCTCGACTCCGGATCGAGCGGTCTGGGTTCGGGACATTGTGTTGTGTTCTTGGGCAAGACACTTTACTCTCACAGTGCCTCTCTCCACCCAGGTGTACAAAAGGTTACTGACGAATTTAATGCTGGGGGTAACCCTGCAACGGACTAACATCTCATCGAGGGAGAGTAGAAATACTCCTAGTCGCTTCATGCTACAGAAACCGGAACAAGCTCAAGCCTTATGGGCCACTTGGCTCGTATGCAGACTTTACCTTTACCTTTTACCGTACAAGAGAGTATCCGTGGAAGACGTGATAACTTAGTGACCTCCTGTTGTGATTTTGGGCAAGACGTTTACTCACAATGCCTCTCTCTTCACCCAGTTGTGTGTATGTGTGTGTGTGGGAGGGAGGGTGGGGAGTGGGATGGGAGGGGGAGGTAGTCAGCTGTTAGCATCCCATAAGCGTGAGACTGAGTGGTATTACTCCTAGTCACTTCATGCTACAAAATTCTTAGTCATCCAGTTTTGAACGAGTGATTTTGTAAGTTGAAGCAGTTGAATGTCTAATTTAGTATACCTCCCTTGTGTAGGAACAAAGCAAGTTGGTTTGAAAGCGAGTTGACTCAGTTTGTGGCGGAGTTTGGTTTGGAAAAGAGCAAGATGTGAAGTGCTGTTGTGGTGAAAACTGCACCAACATCTCGTCATGTCTGACTTCTAGACACAGCTGAACGGTAAACGGGAAGTGTTTGGCTTGCAAAACGACAATTCAAGACATCTTTGATTCCCGTTAAAGTGATGTTAATCCCTGCGGCCAGCTACACGGATGATAATGCAGAGTGGATGTAGACAAAGACGATGATGCTGTCGTGCTAACACTTCTGTTGAAGTGGCTCAGTTGTTTTGTTTCTTCTGCAAAAAGACGGGTTGTATATAACATATTTGTAATACAAAAAGAGCTATAAATACACCACTGTTAGCAAACTGCAATTTCCACGAGGTGAACGACATTTCCACAACCTAATGAAATCCCTGCGAGAAAAAAATGTATCTAATTATAAAAATAAAACGAAGGCTATATACCTGATCGAGGAATGTAAGGAGAAGTTTTATTCTTGTTATTTTGAGCTATTGTTTGCAACTTGAAATATGTTTTTATCGTCTTTGAAGTATGTGAGATTTAGGTTTGAATTACCTGAAAGTACTAGTTATTTAAGGTTGTTACGGGGACAAGGGTATTTATTGACAACTGTCAGTTCGGTGAGATCTCCCCGCCAGACACGACCTATGTAAGAAAATTATCCGTGGGTACTTTAATATCTCTGCCTTCAAGACTTACTGTAATCCGTGTGGGAAAGTTCGCTAATGTATTGCACAGTGTAGATAGTATACTAGGAAATTGAGTGTCTTATTATCGCTATTCAAGCTCGGAATAGACCATATTCATTTCCAAGCTCATTGAAAGTTTTACTATTTCAGTACATTACCGAGAAAACAGGAGAAGAGAATAAAGGAAACTATCGAAGATGAGCCTTATAATGGTTCTCAGAATTAATGTGGAAAGAATGTAGCTTGGACACTTAACACTGAGAAGTTGAAAACTTTGGATTAAAATTAAGAGTCTTAATCGTACTTCGAAGTCGTTTGTTGTTACTGGTGAAGGGGTTGCCTTACTTTCAACAGCGATCTACATCTTGTAACCCAGCCAAATGTGTGCGTAAACAATATTCCCTTGGTAGAAAGAGTTGTGAATGGCACTTTTGTCTCTTACGTAAATAAAGAATAATGTTCAAATTATGTTTCTTGCTTTTACCATGAGCAGCGTGTGATAACGGTGATTCTGTCTGTTGAGGTGTAGCTTGTGTTGAGGAGGGGGCGGATGTATACAGGCTATTGGGGTATCATGTTGGGTGGCGAAAGATATGCTTCGAACAGGCGTTTTGTGGTAGAGAACGTGAACCACGTCGGGAGTATTTCCAACTTTATTTTAATTGGAATGTTCCAAACAGGCTGACTAGCTAAAGGCAACCTAAAACAGCATGGTTTTAAACACATTCTTTGACATCTCGGCCTTGGCTGTATCTCTTGTCACGCCAAATAAACTACAAGACGTCACATGACACTCATTTTTCCTATTTGGCTTGAGTTATCCTGTGTTCTTCGGATGTGTGATTTAAATCGGTTTTATCTTTGGATAATCCTTTATTGCCTTCGATCGTTTGACCCCCAAAAATATTTCGTAAAAAATAAGTTTCTAAAAATAAGTTAAATATTCCTTCTCTAATAGGATGATCTCAAAGTTGTCTTTGTAACTCTCTAATACTCTCAAAACCTCTCAGCATTTGCGGGGCGCGTTGACATTTTCTCTCCAGTTGGTTTTCCTTTTGTCGAACCTTACAAGTAGAACAAAATTATGTAGACGGATTTTGCCGCAGCATTTGGACACATTATTTGGAACAAATAGAAGATAACCAATTCTGGCAACATCGGTGAATGCTATCACGATTTACGGTAATGTTTTGGACATTTTTCAAGATAAAAAAAAACTAACCGACGACTCTCAAAGAACGCATTCCTTCACGTAGTGTTTCAATGTGCTTGTTTACTTTGCGTGCGTAAGTTTGTTTTCCTTGTGGTTTCACTTCACACTGTTCACCCCTTAATTAACTGAAGGTTAAATGAAATCCTGTTCTTCGAATCTTCTCCGATTCTGTTATGTGATAGGGTTCAAAGACAACGAGCTTCCGGGAGCCCGTTTCTGTGATGTTTACAAAATGCTTCTAGTTATAGCCGCAAACACAGGAAGATGCTAAGTTAAAAAAAATATGTTATAGCAAATCTATGAGGAACAAGGATCGACATATAATGGTAAACTGACGGTCAGGGGGATGGAAGGGCGATGGTGCTGGTCAGAAAGTTTGAATTGAAGCCCAAAGAGACAATTTGGGCGTGGGTAAGCGATGAAGGCAATGTCACCAAATAAAACCAAACTTCATCTATAGAGGTATTTTAAAGATTACTTTTGTCGGAACCCGCTTATAAGCCAGTGGCAGTTCAGTATCAGGGCCGGCGTTTATCGACATTGACCTTCCCAGCGTGAACAAAAAACCCTGTTAGGGATTTCAAGAGATTATCCCTCAGAAGATGCTCTCCTATACTCTCATAATTTATTTGCTTTACAATGAATGCGCATTGAAAGGAGAAAATAGATCTTGATGACTGTTGCAAGAGCGGTAATTACCCTATGCATTGTTTTTAGAGCGGTCAATTCACAGTTAATTGGGAGGTTTGAATAACCGCACGCAACCTGGTAGCAAATCACTTGCAAATGAAATGAAAACTGGAGACATTTTCTTTTTAAAGTCCTTTGTTTTTATACGACTGCTTAGAAATCTATAGTTTGAATAGCAATCTTGACCACGGCTAGTGAAGTCTCTTTAAAATCCTGTGTTTCCTCTTTCCTACTCATCGTACGAATTATACTAATCTAATTATGGGGAAAAAAGTACCATCAACTGCAAGACTTTTTTTGGAAAAAAAAAACCTTATCAAAAAGGTTTTAGCTTAGTGACTGTGCAATCTAATCAGAACTACAATCTGCATAAACGGTAATTACTTGAAATCTAACTGAAGCACACCTTCATTGCTAAAACTTCAATTCAAGATTGCAAAGAAATCAACTGAAGTTATTTTCCTACCCATTGGCGGCACGCCTTTACGTCAAAATTTGAGATGCCTTGTAACGCTGTTTTGTGGTTGTCATCACACCATTTTAAATAAAAACAGATCTTCTTGTAATTACTTTTATGCAATTAAAGGTTTAAATTTAGCTTTACAGTAAAGGCTGGTTATTTTCGTCTTTTATCACGCGATAAAAGTTGAAGGTCCCGGCCCGTGTATATTAATTAAGATCGAATTGGTCGCATTGACAACTACATTTCCTTGTAGTAAATTCAGTTAGTCCTTATAGGGCAACTGTTTGAAACTTTTGGCAATGCCCCAAGCTTTTATAGTTATTGCATTCTGCCACCATGCTATTAAGATAGATTTCGTCTTCCAAAGTAAAAAAAGTAAGTTTTTCTTAATTTTTTCAGATGAAAGTTCTCTTCACTGCTTTGAATACAGTTTGACTGATTTTTCTTTCGAGGAATCCAGAGAAACTAAGGCAGCACGGAAAACAGACTGAAAAAGGCGGAGAGCCGGCGGAACTTGCACAGTGTAGAAATCGCGTGAGTTCACAGAGATCGCGTGAGAGATGGTAATTCGTTGTTTATCTTCTGGAATATTCAGTGCCATATTTCCATAGAACTAATTTGAGATGGCGTCTTGCATGGTTTGATTAACCTACTCTCCGCAGATAAAGCTGATAACCTGGTTTCTCGCTGTGTTATGTTAAATGATTTTTTTTTCAGACTTTTTATCTTCAGTACGATCATTCATTTAACTAATTAAAAGAGTCTAAGATCACTAAATAGGTTTTGGATTCGCGGGAAGCTTTGTTGTGAAAGAGATATTCTTGTTTAACTAAAAAGACATAAAAAAACTACAGTCATTCAGTTAAAGACAAGCAAATTGTTATTTATGAACGTGAACACTTGGGAACCGAAAGTCCTCACTTTGGATTCAGAGCGTTGCCGCCATGTTGGATTAACTTGGCCCGGCCAGCAGCCTGGGACCTAGTGTTTGGTCACGAAAGCTGTCCCAAGTACCCTTTGCGCATGCGTGCGAATCTAGTTTAAACAGGAGTAGGCGAAGAAACTTGTTGACACACACTGTCTAAGAGCGCAACGATGTAATTTGACCACACATCATCTGCAAAATAATCATAACAGCCTGGAGTAGTTGAACAAAATGAATGAAATCAGTGAGTGATTCATTTGCTGGAAGATTTTAGTTTACAAGTTAATGTTTGCTTCTCCATTGCATTTCAGGAAAGTCTGTCTGAAATGATATTCTGCAGTTGAGTTAAACACAAGTTTTCCATATAAAATTTAAACACGATGACTACCTTTTGAATATCAGTTTTATTCACACGTTTTTGTATAGCTTGTTTCTGAACAAGATGGAATAAAGTTCTTTTGCAAATTGGAACACTTCCAGAAGAATGTAAATCTCGTACTTCAAATGCAGAAACATCTTTCATAGCTCAGTTTTAGCGTGGGTTGTAATCAACGTTATTGAAATACCGAGAACCCTGGCCAAGTTAAGCTGTTATACTTTAATCTATGATCGCTTGTTTCTTGGAAAGAACTAAATAGTCAGTTCTATTCAGTTGCGATGATCCTATCGTGAAAATAGAATTTTTGTTCATGTTCGGATAGTCAGCTCTTGAAAGGGAATTTACTCTTAGCCACCTACGCTAATGAGGCTCATATTGGGATTTTTTCGCCTGTGGTCGTGATATTTTCTAACTATATTGTAATACCGTTATCTTGTTAAGGTAAATGGCACACTATCCTGACCATAAAAATATTGACCGATTGGCTTTAGGACCAGGAAAATGCAAAAAATGTCGGTAATCTATAACACTCCCTTTTTAATGCTGTTATGTCAAATTTGATGAGTTCGAGATGTTCTGGCCTGGTTGAATCCTTTTGAAAACTGTCTAACAATTTTAGATTAAAAAGATTTTGTTGTCAATAATTGGTTCCAAAGATTACAATTTGCCGGGAAAATGCTATCCTTGTTATCTTTGAGGAGGTCTGAATTGAATGAAAGTGATATCTTTCAGGCATATTAAAACTGAGTGTCTCCTCTTTGCGAAAAAACAAAAATGTAAGGGTTTTGATTGAAGATAACAATCACCTTGTGTGATGAGTCAAAGTTTCTGTGCAGGGAAGTGCCTGTCATTCAAAACAGTTTAGGTTAGCAGCCTTTATACGTAAATACTTTTTGACTTACAATCCCTGTTACATTGAATGTTTATGTTTTCTCCCGGGCTCACTGCATCTGATTGTGGNTACTCCTAGTCACTTCATGCTACAAAATTCTTAGTCATCCAGTTTTGAACGAGTGATTTTGTAAGTTGAAGCAGTTGAATGTCTAATTTAGTATACCTCCCTTGTGTAGGAACAAAGCAAGTTGGTTTGAAAGCGAGTTGACTCAGTTTGTGGCGGAGTTTGGTTTGGAAAAGAGCAAGATGTGAAGTGCTGTTGTGGTGAAAACTGCACCAACATCTCGTCATGTCTGACTTCTAGACACAGCTGAACGGTAAACGGGAAGTGTTTGGCTTGCAAAACGACAATTCAAGACATCTTTGATTCCCGTTAAAGTGATGTTAATCCCTGCGGCCAGCTACACGGATGATAATGCAGAGTGGATGTAGACAAAGACGATGATGCTGTCGTGCTAACACTTCTGTTGAAGTGGCTCAGTTGTTTTGTTTCTTCTGTAAAAAGACGGGTTGTATATAACATATTTGTAATACAAAAAGAGCTATAAATACACCACTGTTAGCAAACTGCAATTTCCACGAGGTGAACGACATTTCCACAACCTAATGAAATCCCTGCGAGAAAAAAATGTATCTAATTATAAAAATAAAACGAAGGCTATATACCTGATCGAGGAATGTAAGGAGAAGTTTTATTCTTGTTATTTTGAGCTATTGTTTGCAACTTGAAATATGTTTTTATCGTCTTTGAAGTATGTGAGATTTAGGTTTGAATTACCTGAAAGTACTAGTTATTTAAGGTTGTTACGGGGACAAGGGTATTTATTGACAACTGTCAGTTCGGTGAGATCTCCCCGCCAGACACGACCTATGTAAGAAAATTATCCGTGGGTACTTTAATATC